ATCAAAATAATACTTCTATAAATTGCAATTATCGCTTAAAAGTCATCAACAAGATATTTGTTCGAAAATTTTCAGCATCAGTAACTATTTCGGTTAGAACTTCTTTCAGTTAGAACCTTGGAGAACTTGTTTTTCAAGAGGAAAAGCTCAAATTTCGAGCTAAAAACGTCCGCAACTGTTTCAAAATTTAAGCTCAGATTCAGCCGAATTTACAGGGAAAAATAGCGAGATTGAAAGAAAAGGAAAAACAAAATTTTATTGAAAATAAAAAAACGAGATAAGAAACGGGTTAGAAAAAGTTTAGAGGTGATTTTTTTTGAAAAAAGGAAAGGGTCAATCGATCGACTACAATCGACTACAGCCATCGCTTTTTGATCGAAAAAAGGAAAGGGAAACGGTCATTTTTCCGTTTTCTTTGTCTCTTTTTGTCTCTTTTTATCTCTTATTTCTGATCCTTATCATTTTTCATTGTGTCTATTCCTGAACACAGCAACGAATGGTCAACTTTGACCGCTTTTACGAATGTTTGTTTGGGGAATGGACAAATTGTCCAAAAGAATTCGGTTTTCACAAAACATTTGCAATAGTGAATTCTTAAACTACAATAATGTACTATTGTAAGCTACAATATTGCACTATTGCAATCTACAGGGTGACCAAGAATTACCGCAACAACGTCGTATTATGTGATGAGCCCCTTTTCACTTTTTGCTTACCTGTTTTTATGGTTTTTGTGTATTTTTCTTATTTTATGGTACGATTATTAACTTTATCAACAAGATGGTGCGCCGGCTACAAGATATCAACAGGTGCGCCGGCTCACAAGGCAAAGAAAGTGCAAGAGTTTTGTTCAAAGACCTTCCCGGACTTCATCTCGTTTTCTGAGTGGCCACCCAGCTTACCCGATCTTAACCCATTGGATTACTCAGTCTGGAGAGTTCTTGAAGCCAGGGCATGTGCAAAACCCCATAAAAATATCGAAAGTTTGAAGAAGGCGCTCATCAAAGCATGGGATACCCTCGATGATGCCTAATTGCTCGCCACGGTCAACGCGTTTCCCAAACGTTTGCAGGCCTGTTCTGGATGCCGATGGAGGCAAATTTGAATTTAATTGTTAATTTGTTACTGTTATATGTTGAATAAAGATATTTAAGTTAACTTTTCGAGATGGGTTGCGTATTTGGTTAAAAGCCAGGCCTTTTGTGTGTTGCGGTAATTCTTGGTCACCCTGTACATAACTATTTCACAAAATTCCTCAACATTTTCTGTGTACAATCACTAATAATTCAATCAAAAATATCAGGATTCGATGTGAAGCAAGCTTTTATTAAACCTTGTGAAGAGATCTGACTATTGAAGTTTTACAAAAGAGCCACTAGGGTGAGCTGAGCTTGAACCCGGATTCGGAGCCAACATCAAAAACTCTACCTAATAGACATGGGAAAATTCCCACCCGAACCTAATTTCACCTTTGTTTTCTCAGCCGTTTCTCGGCCAATTGCTCTGTAATTTTATTTACAAGTTGAAATTGACGATTCTCTGCTTGTAGAGCCAAAAAAAAAAAAAAAAAAAAAAAAAAAAAAAAAAAAAAAAAAAATAAAAACCTTAAAAAACCAACATATAAATTTTTTTTTTTTTTTATCCCACCCCCTTCTCCCCCCTTTTTTTTTTTTAAAAAAAAAAAATTTGCGACAAGGGAGTACCGTTTAGGAAACACAGACAAAACAAGTGCGAAATAGAATTGAAAACTCTAGGAAGTGCAACTCTAGAACGGTCCTAGGACTTGGACTTACTTGACTGAACAACTGTAAGCAAAGCTATGTCAGAACTGACTTACCCTGGTCTTGGAAATTTAAGTTTAGAACAGCCTTAGAACTTGAGAATAAAAAATAGTTAAACGGGTAAACTTCAAAGAAATGTTAGAGTCGATTTTTCTCTTTTTCTTTCTCGTTTTTCTTTTGATTCCTCGAGGCCCAAGCCAAGGTAAACACTTAAAGCACAGAGAATTCCCCCCACGAACGGAAAGGTTAATGAACGAATTTCTTTTCAGAGATTTTCGTTTTCTTTCGAATTTAGTGACGAAAAAAATAAATAAATGATGAAATTTGACATGTTGAAGCGAGTAAGCTTTGAATCAAAAGTCAGCTTTGAATCAACACCCGGCCGAACCAAACCCGAAACCGCAAACCTTGCTCACTACTGAACCTGCAACGCTTGAATCAAAACAGCTTTGAATCAAAACTCAGCATTGAATCAAAACAGCTTTAAATCAAAACCAAGAAAAGAACACTTTTACAAAACTTTTACAAGGCTAATTTTTTTTAAAACTCATAATAAAATACGAGATAACCCTTCGATAAGTAAAAACAAAGAATTCTGCTTAAAAATGGCAAATTCACAGTCAAATTTACAGCTTTTGCTGTAAAAATTTGGATTACTTACCCAAGAAAGCTTGGAAAATGCAGAAATAAACCATTCTATATGTTAAAATTATAAAAATATTAAAAGCTATAATCCCATAAATTTAAAATAAAGTTAAAAATCAATAGATTCACTCAAATTTAGCAAAAGCTACAGATAGAAATTGTTAAATTTCAAAAAGAACAGTCTAAAGGCTTGCACTAAAGCCAAAACCATTGCTGAACATTAGGAAAAATAGAAATTCTTGACGCAATGATGGGCGGGAATTCGTGTGGAAAAGGATGAGGAGTAAAAGGAAAAAGGAGTAGTGAGTGAAAAAGGAAAAAGGAAGGGGAAAGGGGGAAGGAGTACGAGAAATAGAGTGCCGAAGAAAGGAGGGGACAGTGGAATTGGCCGGGTCTACACTGAGGAAAGGGGATTCTTGTGAACCTCCGCGGAGAGGGGACCCCAACCCTAGAGGTTCGACCTCCGCCCTTCCCCCGTCCAATGTTGTTTTAACTAGAGAAAGGCAAGCCATTGTCGTGGCTTTTTAGAGCGAGATCAAACCCATCTTATAGAATCAGCCACGCTATGTTCGAATTTGCTTTTAGTCTTTGCTCTCGAAGCCCATAACGCAAGATATCTGGCTTACAAATTTTGTTTGCATTTTTGATCCACGCCATTAGAGGCCATTGGAGGCCACGCCATTGGAGACCAGGCCATCAAAATGTGGCTACATGGCCTAGGGAATAGTGCTCTCGGTATGAGTTTTTTTTGCTTTGCTTTGATTCCCCTTACGTCAAACTTTTTACCTTTTCTTTTTATATTAATAAAATCTTTTTGATTGGTCAAACCAAAAGAAATTGGCCATGAAGAGGATTGAGCCAGGGTGCTTTTGACTCTAGAGCTTTGGCGATGCACCACGTCACTAGTTGTCTCCGTTGTGAAAAATGAACTCAAGTACGGAAGCCTAAAACTTGTAACCCAGAGATTTCGCGTTACAGGCCTCGAGGGCAAAAACTGAAAACGGATTCGGAATCAGCGTGATCGATTCTATAAGTTGGACTCGTTTTAAAAGGTCACGGGCACCTGGTAATGTTTCCTAGTAGAGAATCCACTCTCCTCCCCTTCAGCCACCCTTCCCCCTCTGCTTCCCCTGCAACCCCTTCACCACCTCTTTCTCATGAAAAGAACCCTTTGCCCTTTTCCATTTCGAAGTGGACATGAGAGATTGGGAAAATGAAGAGAAATTTTGGATTTTAGAGAGGATGGGACTCTAGGAGAGTGCACTGGGATGTATGTGGAATCGTCCAGCGGAATCAATCGACCTTCTTTCTATTCCTTTTCCCATCCTTTACATCTCCAAACTATCAACGGGGATGCGAATCTAACATTTTGCTGAAATTAAGAAAAAGTTTCGGAGTTTTTTTGCAATAGCTATAGGTTTTAGCTTCAGGAATCCAAAGAAGCAATAATCTAGTCGGCTGGATTGAACCCTTTACCTCTCGACACTTAGCCAGCAGGCCATCGCGGTTTAAATACCAATACCACACGAACACAACGTATTGTACTTTTTAGAGACTTTTGATGCTAAAGGCTTAAATAGTGAAGAGAAATAAATTTGCAGGAAATCAACTAACTGAGCAAAACTTCAAAAATCAAACAACATTGAATAAAAAAGCAGAAGCAAAAATCAATGTTTTCTTGTGTCGGATTTGCTGCGTGGATGGAGGATCAGAATGGATAAAATGAAGGGAAAAAGGATACAATGAAATGAGGGGAAAGGGAAAAGGGGGATGGGATATCGAAAGGAAAAAAGGAGGGACACATCTCTCTAGGGGAAGAGATGGGGGACACTCTGCAAAAAGGGTCATAGGATGAGAGGGTGGATTGGAAAGAGCATCAGAAAAGAAAAACCACTCTTCCTCCAAAATTTGATATCTTTTGGATGAGATGAGATGGAATATTGAAAATAAAACCTATCCACAGCTTTAAAAGCTGTCTGTCGAAGTTTTTGAAATTAACAAAAGCACTTGTCGACCTTACGCTTGCTAATTTGGGCATCTAGCTTATCTAGCTTATCTGGCTTCTGGCTTATCTAGCATCTAGCTTATCTAGTATCTAGCTTATTTAGCTTATCTAACATCTGGCTTATCTGGGCACCTGGCTTATCCAGCTTGAATTTTGGTGCCACTGGCTTGATAAGGCTCCTTGTCTGAAGCGATACTTTAACTGTAACTGCTACTTGCTGTAACTTTGTAGCTTTAGCTCTCAATCTAGTTGCAACCTTAACCCAGACGTAGGCCACTCGAGAAATTCAATACACCGGTGTTTACTAGAGCACATAATGGCTTATTTCCATATCTTATTGCTGTTGGGCCGCATGAACGCCACATATAGTCCTAGACAATACTTTGTACTGTTATTGGTACTATCAATTCTGGACTAGAGCTTCTTTTTATCTTTTATCTACCCGTTTCAAAACGATCCATATAAGATTCGAATAATTTATTCAAAAACAATAATCAAAATACAAATCGAATAATACTGGAATGGGTCTTTTTTGAATGAGAATTTGAACTTGAGAACTCAATCGATCACAGATAGAGCGGATCGTCGTAGGCGGCGATTTTCACTCGGATTTTCCCCTCGCCGAACTCTTTCACCTCTTCTCGGCTGTCATTATCTAAAATGGAAAATGAATGAAATGGTGGCAAGGATAGCTCAGGCTCAGGCTCAATCATATCACACTTATTCAATCTTATGATAAGCAAAGTCAACTCTGACTTTTGTGTCAGTTGAAAGTTCTCTATGCAACTATATGAAAATTTAACAATAAGATTGTCTCTAGACAAATTTATGGTCTCAAGAGCTAACTTTTCGTTTACCTGTCAGTGCTATAATATCGACTCTTCCCACTAATCGATCCCTCCCGATTTTCCTGTCCTCCCACACCTCGACCGCGTACTTTTGCCGAGCAGATCTCCTGGAAATTGGGTTTATCTTAAAAAGCTCATTTACTCAATGCTAAATTTGAAATACGGAGTGCGGCAGGATTATTAGAACCGATTATTGGAACCTCAAAGCATCAATGTTAGTTCCAACAACTATTTCGACATACAGTCAACTCTCTTTATAACGGAATGGAAAGGACCAAGAAATTCTTCCCTTATATAGAGCTTTCCATTATATAGACTGCCGTTTTATATAGCTTAGCATCGGCCGGGAAAAAAAATTCCATTCCGTTATATAGAGTTTCGTTATAAAGAGAGTCGACTGTACTTCTTCCGTGAGCCAAAAATCACTTTGGAAACAGGATTTGGTGTTTGATGCAGGATGATGCTTATGCTCACAAGGCTCGAGTGGTTCAGGACAGCATTTGTCCCGATTTGGCCACCTCAATCCGATGATAATCCGATAGATTTCAGTGTTTAGAACGTGCTTGAAGCAAAAACATGCTCAAAGCCGCATTCCAGCATTGATTCGCTTAAGAAATCTCTTCAAAAAGCATTTGATAAACTCGATCTCGCTACCATTTGGCGGATGTATTTCCCAAATCTCAGCTACATTTCTGCTCATCTTTTTAAAGGAAGTATTTTTCTTGTTTAATATATCTTTAAAAATCAATTGTTAAAGTTTTTGAGTTGATTTCTTTCGCTTTTTATCCTTAAAAAATTGGTTTCAAAAACCCTGCCACATGCTGTATATCTCTAGACAAAACCGACTTGAAAAATAGGAATTGTTCATCCCATTTGGGTGAGGTCGATTCGCGCATCGTTCGCGTTCTCAGCTGACTTTTCCCGTCATCGAGCATACAATAGAAATCGCCTAAAGTGATGAGTTGATTAAAAGGTCTTTGAATAGCTGTTACGTCCGATCTAGACTGATTCTAGATCGAACGTCAGATCTAGAAATCCGTCCAATTGGACGTCCGATCTAGACTCAAGTGAGGTCAAACGTCCGATCTAGAATCAAGCCGATCACTCTAAATCAGACGTCCGATCCAGACTTAGATTTAGAGTGATCGGCTTGATTCTAGATAGGACGGCAGACCTCACTTCACTCTAGATCAGACGTTTTACCTTACTTTACTCCAGATCGGACGTCCGATCTAGAATCAGTCTAGATCGGACGGTAACATATCTATTTTTTTTTTTTTAATTAAAAAAAAAAAAAAAAAATAATTTATATATATTTATATATAAAATATATATTTTTTTTTATTTTAAAATTTTTATTAATTTTAAATATTTTAAATAAAAAAAAAAAAAAAAAAAAAAAAAAAATTTAAAAAAAAAAAAAAAAAAAAAAAAAAAAAAAAAAAAAAATAAAAAAAATAAATAAATTTAAAAAAAAAAAAATATATTTTTTTTTTTTTTTTTTTTTTAATAAAAAAAAAAAAATTTTTTTTTATAATAAAAAAAAAAAAAAAAAAATATAAAAAAAATTTTTTTAAAAACAAAAAAAAAAAAAAAAAAAAAAAAAAAAAAAAAAATTTTTTAAAAAAATTTTTTTTTTTTTTTTAAAAAAAAAAATTATTTTTTTAAAAAAAAAAAAAAAAAATAAAAATTAAAAATTTTTTTATTTTTAAAAAAAAAAAAAAAAAAAAAAAAAAATAAAAAAAAAATAAACAAACAATATTTAGTCTGAAATCTAGAAATCTGTAAGCTGTACTTGTACAGTTCAAAACTACTAGATATTTTCTGCGTTTCTATTTTTGGAACCTATCTTTTATGTACTTAGATTATGTCTTTTATGTCTACAATATGGGATAAGGCCCTACCCTGACGGCAACGGGATAATGTGTAGCTTATTGGTAGAGTGTTATCGTGGTGACGAGAGTAAGCGGTAGTAAGAGGTCGCGGGCTCGAGTCCCGGCGCCGATCGGTTTGTCTTGTTTTCTCGATGCTTTGTATTCCCAGCCTCAACCCATAAAAGGACCAGCCAACTCCAATTCTATCATAATTTCAAGGATTTCAAGATATGAAAGAATTGAACAAGAACAAGGAAAAGAAGAACATTGTCACCTTTAACTCGAACTGGGCAAAGCTATGACTATCATTGATTAAAAATGTGATGTAGTATGCTACTTGGACAAGGAGTAGCTATCGTTAGCTGGTAAACGATGTTTATCGATTGTTTTAGAGGTCAGAATCGTTTACCTGAAGTCCCTGGAAGACTCGCATCAACGATATGCACCCTCGTGACATGACTCGCCGATTGCCAGCACCAACCGACTGACGGCGCTTGTCGCTTCAACTCTTTCATGTGCAATTTTTCAGAGGAGTAGGCCTGGAAATGAGTTTTGTAAAAAGGTTTTTGATTTCTTCTGAAATAAGCTAAAACAAAACTCAATCATTTATGCATTACTTTATTTGATATAAGCTCACCCTTAACATATAAGTCGCTTGTTCTCGTGGAGCGTAGGTGGTGGGTAAAATGATGTATCGGCCAGGCCGCACATCGATTAAATGGAGGAACACCGATCGAGCATTCGCATAGTCGGACGCTTCCACTGGTTCGGTTGGCTGAATGGCTACACTTTAAAGGATCGTTCGATATTGAGGACATCTTTTCGTGGCTCTTAAGGCTTAAGGCTACACTGTGTCATCTTTTCGTGGCCCTTAGGGCTTAAGGCTACACTGTGCCATCTTTTCTTGGCTCTTAAAGGCTTAAGGCTACACTTTGTGTCATCTTTTCGTGGCCCTTAGGGCTTAAGGCTACACTTTGTGTCATCTTTTCGTGGCTCTTTCCTGTCACTTGTAACTAGAGTGTGCTCTTTTCAAAGCAAAGTCCTTTCTAGCTACAGTACTACAGTGATTTACCGTCAAACTTGCCTGATGCACCCTTGTGACTCGATTCCTTTCGACTCTCATAATATGCATTCCAATACAAACAAATGGTTCCCTTCTCTTTTTCCCTTCACCAACTTCTCGTTGCGTTAACGCGAACATCACCTCGTTTTTCTCATCATTCACATCAAAGACGTACTGGAATCGATTTTTAAAGTCAAAAACGGCTTTATTTTTTTATCTTTTAGCTAAATTTCACACAAAAATATGCTAAAATGGTTGAACTCAAAAATTCAACATTTCTGTAGAAGATTTTGCTCGAAAAAAACTCTTTAATAAACATGGGCACTACAAACTACAAACGTAAACTATAAAAGCTTCTAAATTGCTTCAAATCGAGCTTGAAAACGGACCGTGCTCGTGCGTAGTCGAAGCGATTGAGTCAGGCTACAAACCACTATAACTTTCTTTAGAATTACTATTTCTCGGTGCACTTTAGTTCATTCGAAAGCTCTTGAGATTCTCTATTTTTCAAGCTATAGATCGTGTCAATACGACAATTCTGAAGCAAGTTAGAAGCGTTTGTAGTGTGACAGTTCGTAATTTTTGTATTTAAAAGGAAACTGTTTTGATCTATAGTGATTGTTTTGATCACCGAGTGATTGCCAATTCGATGTGATGGTTAAAATCACGCATACCTGTGGATTCGAGCAAAAAGAAGCGGGAAAATTGAGACATCCCCCGGCGAGATCACCGGGTGCACCACTACGAGCACCATTCGACGACCAATGGCCGAAGAAAATCTTCTCATCGTAACTGAAAGGGGGAAAGGTTTACAGTAATTTCTGAATTCTCCCAAAGCTACTTCTGGGCTAGGTCAGGTCAGAAGCCAAGTAGAAATGCTTGGCCAGAAGCTAAGCAGGAATCCCTTGTCTGAGCTAGACATGGGAAAATTCCAAGCCGAACCTAATTCCACCTTTGTTTTCTCGGCCGTTTCCTGGCCGATTGTTTTGAAATTTTGTTTATAAAGAGAAATTGGCATCCTCTGCTTTGGGGTGGAATTTTCCCATGTCTAGTCTCCACCCGCTGGCATCCAAGGCCGCATAGTTATACCGAGCCCTTAAAAACATTTAAAGCACAAAATTTGGAGTTTGGTGTGGTCTGGTGTGATCTAGGCTGGTTTACAGACCTTAGGGTTGGTTGATAGTTGAATTTGGGCAGTCTCAACACTTGTAATCTTTTTGCAAACCCACAAACCTCTTGGCTAAAGAAAACACGGATGTGTTGAACAATTGACACACGGAAATGTCGGTGAAATATTGCGTGAAAGACTCCCACGGCATCCAGAATTCTCCATCCTCATCAACGGTGATGCCAAGGGATTTCTTTGTGGAATCCGTCACCTGGAAAATAAGATAAAGTAAGAGTTGGGCTTTGGATTTTGAAAAAGATTTCATTTATAGCTGAAGACTTTCAAATACAGAATACGGTACAAGTTAAAAGTATGCTTAGTACTGGTTGTTGGTTTTGTTTTGTTGGCTTACTATTGAAGGAGTGGTTCGAATTGGAACCGTTTTTCACTAGTGACTCGCTCTTCCCCTGGATTTTTCCTGATTTGAGTTGGAATTGGATTTATTACCCAATTATTCTATCGATCTGGAGCGCACACTAGCTGAAACACTTAAAAAATTGTAGAAAGGACGATTTTTAAGAAAAGCGAAAACCTCTAATCGAACCACGATTAGAGGTTTTCGCTCACTAAAAATTTGCATAAATCTAAAATCCAAAAGCTGCAATGAACTATGTGCGCCCCAGAACTTCCAAAAAATTTCTTAGAATTTCCAGTTCTCAAAAAATTCCGCGCCTTTCCGGCCCGAGGTTTTTCGGGGTCTAGCAATCGATTGGAGCTACTCATTTTATTGAGGCTACCAATTAGAACTCGGGATTTAATTGGTCTAAAGTTTTAGATGGATTCGGAGACTTATTAGCCTATCTTGGAGCCTATGCTTGACTTAAAGCCAGCATTCCTTTACAAATGCTTGCCTCAACTACAGTCTTGATCAGTTTTTACCTGTTCCCATTCGGGACTCCCGTCACTCCACGGTCCATTCCATTCCTTTTCTCCCCACGGATTCTGCAAACGGATCATCCGCTGTTTCTCCATGCTGCCCAAGAGGAATGAGCTGTAAACTTGGGCTTTGATTCGGTAGTTTCGATTTTCTTGTACCTGATCGATTTCTCTTTTGCATTCAGCTCAATAAAGCGTACATCAGTGACCGCATAGGCGTGTCCCTTCACTAAACCGCAGTCAAGCGTCTCCTCGATCTCCTCTTTCGTTCTCGCCTAAAAGACGATCTACAATAGATTTAGATACTAGATGCTAGAGCTAGATGGATAACTCACAGCAATTGCGGCAATGACGAGCGCCTCATTCTCGTAGGCCATACTCAGTCTTTCGAATAGAAGATTCGACTGATTGGCTGGGTCGTTTTTCAGGAATTTGCTCACTAAAAACGGGTATTTAGTTGTTAGTTGAAAGCTTACTCTAATAATTACTATAATATTTTCATTTTGCATAAAAATATTGGATTGGTGAATTGAAAACTGCGGGCTATTGTCATATGTGACAGTTTTCACACTTTCTTCAAAAGAAACCCATTTTGGTGTCAATGGAAAAGTTGTAGAGAATCAAAAATCAAGCTTATATCCAAATTATATTACAATTACAAATTATAACCAACCCAATAGATAAATACAAAGACAGTTTAGCTCTTAAAAATCGAAGCCTCACTAAAATGGTTAGTGTCAAGTTTTTAAGAGACTAGTTGAAGGCTAGTTTCAATGGAACAAGGATAAGGACTAGTCTAAGGATCTAATTTTGACAATTAATAAACAATTTAAGAGACAATCAATGAAACAATTAATCTAAGGATCTAATTTTGTAGAAATTTTACAAAACTCACTGGAAATCGTTTCCGCCACTCCACCCGAGACATCTTGAAGTGCATCGGAGAGATGTCCGCCAACAAGGTTCTCATAACAACCGTACAATCTAGATTGGAGTTAAGTTTATGCCGGGTATTTTGAAAAATGGACAAATTTCAAAGGCGCAGATTTTTCGGAGCTAATATCTTTCTCTAGTTTCTCTTTAATAATACCCGACAAAAGCCAAGTTTACACGGTGATCGCGAATTATGGCGACACCTTTTTTGGAAAAGTTTCTGGCATACGCCTGACATATTGTGCCAAGTGTTATATAGAAAAATAAAGCCCTTAATCTTGGCTGCATTTATCTCTTAAAAGTTTCCCGGTTGGAATTATACAACTCATTTTACAAGCTCTCGAATGAGCTCAAGTCGGCCTCTCTCCGGCTCTCTCCGATCTACCATTTTCGAACGCATAAAAGGAATGCATAAAAGCTCCATATAACTCGTTGTTTTTATAATTAAAAAGGTCTATTATTGCTCTACAAAATGGCTTCTAAGAGATTCCAAAAAGCTTTTGTTTTTGTAGATTTTATGAGCTAATAAATGAAACCAGTCAGAATGACAAGGAATCCGATTCGTCGTTTGACTCGTTCCTTACACAAAAACTTAGCATAACAAAAGTTAGAGCACATTTAATTACATAAGTAGCCAATTTTCTGTAGTGATCTCGTCAGTCAAGTTTAATTTAACTAACTTTGCGAAAGCTTTCTCCAAGAGTGCAGACCAGAACTCGTTCGGCGTCTTTGAGCGAGCGAAAAGAAGCTTTCCGTCTCTGGAAAATGCGGTGGTTTTGAGCAAAATTTAAACAAATCAAAAAATAGACAAAGAGCTATAAGTAAAAGCGGGTAATATTATTAAAATGAAGCTGAAACATCGTTTTTTTGATTGCTGATTACCTTGTCGGCAACAAATCATCCACCACCACTTCCATCCAATTGCCAAAGCGCCAGAAACGAAATCGAAACAATCCCGAATAGGTATTGCCCGGGCCCCACTCTTGTTTATTCGAATTCGGGATCACCTGAAAAGGTTTTCGATTCTCAAGGACTTTCGAAAGATCTACCTTATCCAAGAGAGCGGTGTTGTGAGTGAGAGCTGAACATGCGCTCACAAACCAGCAATTCCCGAGGATACCCTGGAAAAAAACAGGATAAAATAAGGGTTTAACTGAATATTTATCTATCTATCTATTTGAAACTCTTAAAATTCTAAATGAAGACGGTAACTTCTATTCTGATAAAGTGCCGGTTTGTATAAGGTGCGTGAAAAGCTCTCTCCCCACCTAAAAGACCACTTTTACAATATTTTCCAAAGTTTTCAAGACTTCAAACCTAAAAAATTAGATTTTTCAAAGATTTTTACGCTAGAAAATCATTGAAAATCTTTTATTTTATTCATATAGAAGATTTTATAGAACTTTTTATGATAACGTTTGAGGTCGAAGAGGAAAAGCTTTCCGAAATAGCTTTCCTACCATTGTAGCAAATTCGAATTTGGTTTTTTTAATAGTTTCAAACATTTTTAATAGCTGTTTAGCTATAAAAACAGTTTTTCTATAATTTATTACGGTTTTGAATTGAAAAGTTGAGCATTCTCGTCTCGATTTAAGGTTTTCTCTTCAGATCTTGTGCTGTGATCTCATTTCTAATTTTGATCACCTCTTTTCAAAAAAAAATAAGCCTAAGCCTAAGCCTAAGCCGATGAAATCTGACTAGCCAAATGTGAAGAATGCTAAACAGCTCCTTAGGATAATGTTTTAGCTAAATAGACATTCAAAAAAAGTGTTTAGAAAAGCTATTTTAACCTTTACTTCAAATCTTGTCCTAAAAAGTTCTATAAAATCTTCTATATGAATAAAATCGAAAGTATAAAAGAAGTTTCTAGCGTAAAAATCTTTGAAAAATCTAATTTTGGGGGTTTTGAGTCTTGGAAACTTTGGAAAATATCGTAAAAAGTGGTCTTTTAGGATCGGACAAGAGCTTTTCCCTTGCCCTGTACACTTGTAGAATAGGTTTGAATAATGTACACTCAATTCTGGCTCACTAAAGCCTCCTGTGGGACAGAAAAATAATCAGAATTCAGCGCACCGAAAAGTGTGCGTTTCGATTTTTGTGAGCACAAATTTCAAAGTTACCTGTGTGACATCATTCGGCGAGGCTCCTTCGACGAAAAGATGCGGATCGGTGACGATTTCCTGAAAGTCAAAAGATCACTATTTTTTCATTTTTCTAGAACACTGAACACTCAGATTCATTTACGCAAATGCTGAAAATTTCTCGATATTTCTATTACATTTACATCATTCTAGAAGTTTCTGAGCTTTGCTTTCAAAAGTACAAGTACAAGTATTCTGTACAACTTTCTGTACAACTTTCTGTACAAGGTTCTGTACAACTTTCTGTACAAGTTACTGTACAAGTACACTGCTCCACATCTTCCTAGCTCCATCTATCAATCTCTCAAAAACTAAGCTTTTTAAAAGGTTTTTTTCAAAACTTCCGAAATAGAAAAGGTGTTATATTTCAATACGAAAATTATCATAAACACCGATTTTGTATAGCAAAGCTTATAAAGACAAAAAAAATCCTTTTGGTCACATAATTATAGCTTTAAAAAAAACTATTGTGATTTCCAGGAACTAGACAAAATTTGTGACAAAAAAACTAATTGGGAGTAAGGGAATCATCGCGGAATCCGATCAGAAAGTGATCGATGAGAAAAACCTTCCAAAAAACAAGTCATTTTACAGAAAACAAGCCAAAATCCGACTTGCAACTTTCAGATTCAAATCCTGACTCAATCGTTCGTTTCATTCCCTTACTCCTAATTAGTTTCTTGTCACAAATTTTGTCTAGTTCCTGGAAATCACAATGGTTTTTTATGGATCTTTAACCCAGAAAAAGTTATGTATCAAAAACATGATTCCCGTACTCCCAATTAGTTTTTTTGTCACAAATTTTGTCTAGTTCCTGGAAATCACAATAGTTTTTTTTTAAAGCTATAATTATGTGACCAAAAGGATTTTTTTGTCTTTATAAACTTTGCTATACAAAATCGGTGTTTATGATAATTTTCGTTATGAAATATAACACCTTTTCTATTTCCGAAGTTTTGAAAAAAACCTTTTAAAAAGCTTAGTTTTTGAGAGATTCATAGGTGGAGCTAGAATGATGTGGAGCCGTGTACCTGTACAGAAACTTGTACAGAAAGTTGTACAGGAACTTGTACAGAAAGTTGTATTTGTACTTGTACTTTTGAAAGAAAAGCTCAGAAACTTCTAGAATGATAGAAGATATGTAATAGAAATATCGAGAAATTTTCAGTACAAGTGTCTGAGCTTTACTTTAAAAAGTCAAAAGTCAACAGTACATTCCCAAAATTCATCATAACGGTAAAGAAAAACAAAGAAAAGCAAAGCAAAGCAAGTCAACAAAGCAAAACTCATCAATCAGTGGAAAAAGTTAAGAAGAATAGGTACTTAGAAAGCCGATATTGACCCTAACAATGGATTCAGCTATGATTCAACCACAGTTAGAGTTCGATCAACCGCAGTTTCTCCTCAAAACTGACCTAGTTCCCAATGTTTCGAAAAAAGTTTCATTTAAACAGTGATTCCATGACATCTTTGTTTCAAAAATCTCTCAAATTACAGCAAAAATTTGTCTTAACTTTTATTTTTTCACTCTCTCACGCGTACTTTTCGATTCATCTCAAATTCTCGGAGAAAAGTGACGTTTTCTAGGTTCCATGCCAGTAAATTGGATTAAATTTTGAAGGTTTGAAGGTCACCACAAAGATCCTTTCAGAAAAAAACAAGAAAATAAAAGTTTTTCTATCAATTTCTATCAACAATCGAGTCTTTTTGATTTCAAATTTCGCTGAGAAACGAGTTTTTTTTGATGGGGATCTTTGTGGTTTTCAGAAAATTCAATCAGGAACTCGGTTACACTAATTTGTGCGATTCGAAAAGGTGATTTTGAAGTGATTGTGTTTGCAGTGTTTTCATTTACGGATATAAATCTCAAAAAATTTAAACCTTTCTTTGTTGACAACACTCAACTTAATCAAAACTCTAAGCAACTTGACAAGTCAGCCAAATCTTTGCCAGAGAAAGGACCCCAACTCCAGCATACAGCCATGATCCTGCACCCTCTGATTACTACTTCCGGGCTATGAGCAATGATTTAGCGAACAAACACTTTGATTCCAAAGTCCACAAGTCCTTGACAAGTCAGCCAAATCTTTGCCAGAGAAAAGACCCAAAAGAGAGAAATCTTCAACATGATAATGTTTCGCATGTTTCGAAGATCACTCGTTCTACAATAAACTCACTTGGATGGGAGGTGATAGTCCATCCAGCATACAGCGCTGGTTCTGGGCCTTCTGATTTCTACTGATTCCGAATGATGAGCAATGATTTGGCGAACAAACACTTTGCTTCCGAAGAAGAGGTCAAAA